CCTGCTCTAACAGCTGTGTCCCAAATTCATTACCACAGCCCAAAGGCTAGGGCTACACCCATACCATTCGCTAATCAGCTAATTACTGGTTAGCATCTGGGACAGCACTCTCTGTCAATGGACAGATCCTAAATAGGTGAAGTTCTAGCATTCAGGATGAAGTCATGTTTTGTGTTTTACTAGAACACAATCCTCTTTAATGCTCCATCTAAAATTCACTACTTTTTAGTGTTCTTTTAGGTAAAACACGTGATTAGTTCTAAGTACAGAGAAGGCACTTTTTTACTTTGTTTCACTGTGATTTATGTAGCACTAGCTAATATGCTAATGGATAATTATTCTATTATCTAGCATGTGGTTAGCTACAGAACAGGCACTGCCATTTTCTGTCTAAAAAAATCTGATCTAAACAAGACAGTTAAAATAAATGCTAATGCAATTTAACATAAAGAGAAAGGTGAAAGGTCGCACCGCGTGAAGCGCACGCCGCAGGTCATGCACTGGAACGGTTTCTCGCCCGTGTGTGTCCTCATGTGACGTGGAAGCTTTCCTGCCCCATGGATGATCTTCTGGCAGACGGGACACTGTTGAGGAGCCTGAGACTTCCTCTTCCTGGCTACACCCTCTACTGCTCCCCCCCCTGTTTCAGCCTGAGAGGGGGCGTGGTTCAGAGGAGGTGTGAGCTCCTCGGGTTTTGACTCCTCCTCTTTAACTGGCTGTGGATCCCAGTGCACTCCTCCGTTCATGAGCGCCACCTGCTGAGCACTTTGTGAAGCTCCATTCTGTGGTGGGCGGGGTTTGTGCTCAGGGGTGGGTGGAGCTTCACATTTGGGCTTGTCTTCCTGGGATTGTGCTTTCCATGCCAGACGTACAGGTGATGCTGCCTTCTCTACATTGCGACGGTCTTGTTTCCTGCGTGATGGTGTCTTTTGCTCGTTCTCAACCTGATTTGCTTTTTCCTTGTTGGCCACACCCAACACCCCCCCCCCGCCTGGTTCACCACCCTCCCCACCCAGCTCACCACTTTCCCCCACCTCACCTAAGATGTGGCGGCAGGCATCAGCCACACACTGGATGCCGAGCAGCTGTGCCCCCTCAAGAACCTCGCGCATGCCAGACGAGCGAATGGTTAATGTAGCTGTATAGGCAAACTCTAGCAGAGCGTCCAAAGCGTCTGGGGACACGCAGTCCAGCTGGCACACGCTGCAGCCCTCACTCACCTCACCAGCCTCACCCACTTCCTCCGCCCCGAACAGCCGGCGGAAATACAGGCTGACGGCGGCCATGACAGCGCGGTGTGTGGGGTAGCGAGCACCACGGGAGGTCAACGTGAGGTCACAGAGCAGGCCGGAGCGGCGCTGAGCGTTGAGGCGGGACAACAGCTCATTGCTGTGCTCAGGGAATGGGATTCCGATCAAACCATCCTCTCCAGGAGACATCGCCACCTGTGGGCACACGGGACACAGTGCATACACTATTCAGAACACACAACACAACAGCAGATAATAAAGTGGAGCTAATAAAGTGCATAAGATGCTGATGTTGGTTTATGGTTAGTGTTAACTAGTGTTAACACACATTTATAACATCACAGTGTTGTTCATTATATTATGTTTAATTCCTTGAAAGGTGAGTTGGAGTTGGCATTAGCCCAGCAGTTAAAACAGGATTATAACAATCTGAATGGTGACCATAGTGAATTTAAAGAAGGAACATTATTTGATATATAATACAAGTTATATAATACAAGTAGCTTACAGTAAGACTACATCAATGACTAATGTCACCTGCTAAGTACAAATTATATCCAATTAAATTATAAGATCACAGTTTTTGTTGCCATTAGCCATCAGTTTCCTGCTCTCGTTGTCTGCTTAATTTTTTTCTCTATCATGAAGCAGCTACAAAACCTGATGGATTTAAAATAGATACACATGTACATAAAGAAAACGAAATGGCGTTAATTGGTATTACTTGGTCTTGGGTTAAAACATAGTAATGCAACACCTCACTACTCAAAGCCAGTTAAACTTGCCAACTAATAGTGTGATTAGAAACGCTGCTGCTCCACATGCACATGAACACTGAGACACAGTCAACTTTTTAACAGAGACAATTTTCAATAGTGTCACTTTTACATATGAGAGGCCTCATGTTTTCAAAGCATTGATTATTCTCAGTACAGGTTTTTTCCATGATGTACAGTATTTCAGTAATATTTCACTCTCTAAACTCTGCCTCCTAGCAGGAAGTTCCACACTGAAGTTTTTTAGTGAGAGAGACTTTAAACACAAAACATGGTGTGTGACACTGTGGACAAAATATTTTTGGTGAACTATTCCTTTAATGACTAACACAACACTGTAACTCTTATCAAAAAAAAAGTGTGATGCTGTACAGACGTAACACACACTACATACAGAGCAAACTATACAAAGTATGTAAATTATTTAAAACAGTTTCACTGACATGCTTGTGAAAGAAACAGGGTGAGAGAGACAGTCAGAGAGAGAGAGAGACAGAGACAGATAATAAAATATCAGGAGCTAAGATAAAGTCCCTTTCATTTCTAACTCCTATTGCTAAGAATCCATCCTTTACCCCATCAAGATTGGATGGGACCTTTGTGCAATGGAAAGAAATGGGGGTACGTACTATAGGGGACCTTTTCATTGATGGGGCTTTGGCATCTTTTAATCAGCTGCAACAGAAATTTAAATTCCCCAAGAGTCATTTTTTTTAGATTCCTACAAATTAGGAATTATATACATGCTCACACACCTTCATTGGATAATATATCACACTCAATTATTGATAAGTGTCTTGATCGGTGTAAAGGAAGTAAAAAGGCATTACATATAATTTATGATTTGCAACAATCCTTTACTTCTCCCTCTACAAGTTTTCTTAAGGAAGAATGGGAGAAAGAATTAGGAGCGGAAAATTCTGAGGAAATGTGGCGAGTTTAAAGAATATTAACGAACATTCTATCAATTCTAGACATTGCCTTATTCAGTTTAAAGTAATTCACAGACTACATTATTCAAAAAAGAAGCTACATAGAATTTTACAAATGTTTGTTTTATTTTCTGCTCCAAGATACAGAGTTATTGGAAAGGAATTTTTGATGTGCTTTCAGAGATTTTTAAGGTGCAACTGCAGCCAGATCCGGCACTTTTCATTCTGGGATTATCTGAACATATGCATTCATTATCAGGTGCACAACACAAACTGCTTGCATACAGTTTAACTATAGCCAAGAAGTTGCTACTGTTGTT